TTGCCATAATATCCTCGATGGCAGCCTTCAACGAGTCCTTGGTATTACGGGCATGCTTGTTGGTCTCCCTCTTAACGACGCCCCAGACGTAGTGGTCCAGGGGGTTTAAATCAGGAGAGCTAGGAGACCAAATGTTAGGGGTAACATGATCGTGCAAATTTTCGGCCAGCCACTCCTGGGTCGTGCTGGCTGTGCGAGAGGGAGCAGAGTCTTGCTGGAACACGTACGGCCTCCCCCGAGCCACTCCCTCAATCCAGGGCTTGACAGCGTCTCTGCCGTACGTGTTCCAGTAAGACTCTGCTCCCTCTCACACAGCCAGCACGACCCAGGAGTGGCTGGCCGAAAATTTTCACGATCATGTTACCCCTAACATTTGGTCTCCTATCTCTCTTGATTTAAACCCCCTTGACTACTACGTCTGGGGCGTCGTTGAGAGGGAGACCAACAAAAGAAAGAATAGAGTGACGAACATGCTGCTTCTCAGATGTCATTATCTCTACAATGACCTGAGCAGACGGGAACAAGAATGTTGTGGAGTAGGCTACCCAGTGTAGTATCACTTAGTACAATAACATGTTTTTCAATATTCATGTAAACAAATAGACATCTTTTCAAAAAGCGAAAATACTTTGCATCAACCCAATAATTGGTAGAATAAGTGTGACACATTTCAAGGTTCGGATTGAGACGTCAAAAACGCATATTTTTCTTTCATGACACCTTGTGCCGTGGTCGACCATTCATCATTCATCTCCTTGCAGTTAGAGAATAACGGGATAATTATGAGTGTCGCTAAACGTCCAAGATCGGAAAACTGGTGCGTCGAAGAGAAGGAGCTTCTTCGGTCTCTGTGTATTGAGGCCTCATCTGTCATAGAGGACAAGAAAATAGACATTCACGCCAATGCAAGGAAAATGAAGGCATGGAAGAAAATTGTGCAAAGATTTCACCATCGTTTTGGCCGGATGAATCGCCTCAAGGAGCAATGGCAACGAATGAAAGGTGAGGCAAAGGAAAAGGTTTCGAAGTACAGGAAAGAATGCAAGAAAACTGGAGGTGGGTCTCCATCTGAACTCCCATCATAGGATACTCAGCAGCTGGTGGATACCCTGCCACATGAATTTGACAATCCGGTGAACCTATTTGATGATGATGCTATCATGGATGATCTTACCACCGAAAAACTAAATGAAGAAACAGGTGGGGCCCATGATGAAGATGCACATGCCACGTTGGCAGAGTTCTTGGATGACTCAATACAACCACCTACTATCGACAGCGAGGAGTCTGCCCAAGATTTCCCTTCCAAAAAGGCAAGGCAAATAGTTTTTCTTAAAATATTATTCGATTTCCAGCTTCTAAGTAGGTTGCTTTGTATGATTGCATTTGATGAGAAGAAAACGCTGGGGGTTAAAATGGGAAGGCACTATACTTGTGCACAGGGCTGGGAGTTAGGAGAAACTCTATTTCGATCATCATTTCATAGAAAATTCCAAGGTTAAAAACACATGGAAGCTGTAGCATGGCTGTAGATATATTAGGCCTGCCTATTTATTACGCTGGGAGTTTTCTATACCGTGCGATGCGAAAAGAGAGAAGTTGAGTGTTCCATCTTACCCCTCCTGCGCACATGAACAGCATAGGAAGAAATCAGTGTTATTTTCCTGCAGGAACGCTCCTAAAGCATCCTTGTACATAGATTTGTACAAGAGAGAGCACAAGCGTCGAATGGAAATGATGGAAGAACATGGAAAGAAGATGGAAATTTTCCATCTTGAGAAAAAGTACTGGGAACAAAAGATCATAGGGTTGCAAATAGAAAACATTGGAAAATCTGCAAGCGTATTCAACCAGAGCACTGCCAATGAATCGTCATTTTTTGAGAACACATCCGGAAATTCCTTTTCATTGATTAGTTCAACGATATGAGCGGTTTCATGGCACTGCTGTGAGCTGGAAAGAAATCAATAAAATAATTTGGCGTAGTAACTGATTTTTATTGCGTTGCTTTTGTCAGCACAACAAGCCATGGAAGCCTGACCTTTTAAATCTTTTCAGTGAGAAAAATACTGTTGAACTATCTTAAAGGGAAATGCAAGACCCTCAAAATTGTCATGATCACGGCCTTCATTGTTCTTTGGGAATTCATCCTGAATATAATCATCCAATTCAGGTTCTCGTCGAGAAAGGGCCAAATTGTGAAGAATTGCTGCTGACAATGATAGCGTAAACTGTGGCAAGTTTGACTTGCAGCGGAATGCGAAGGGACCTGGAAAAAAAAAGAGAAAAATTAAGGCCAAACTACTTCATTGAATAACATCTCTACAGGTGTTACCAGTTCTAGTATATGCGCCAAACCCCACCAGAACCGTCCTTTCATGATCCCAAATGTTCGTTCGATGGTTGTTCCAGCAAGGCTGAGGCGGCGATTGTATCTCCTCTCGGCATCATTGTTAGACTGTGGGAAAAGAGTCAAAAGGAAAGGTTTGCATGGATAGCCACCATCACTAGCAAATACCGTTTCCTCTGCGAGTACTCAGGATATCATAAATGTGACTTTCTCGAAGGATCCGACTGTCGTGTGTCCCGCCAGGCCATCGCGCGACAATATTTGTGATGTAGTGATCTGCATCTCAGATAACTTGGCAGTTGATGGAGATGAATTCTTTCCGATTCATTAATCTCGATGCATTTTCGCCACCTACAACGATTATAAAATGCTATTAAGAGTGAAAGTTTTTCAGCCCACTTAAAAAAGTAATTTATATTTCTCTTCATTAAGGCTCATATTTTTCGAGCAATGAAAACAGTTCATGATTACAGTGTATTTAAGCAGCACAATTTACCTGGTGATTTGATAGGAATGTGTGTGCCATCTATCACTCCATAAACGCCTTGAAAACGGCGTTTTTAAGCGAAGTCCTCCATTTTCCTTTCGAATTCTTGTTCTTTCGTTGGAAAATGTATGAACTGCGTGCGCAACGCGTTTCAGTTGTAGCAACTGACTGCACAGCCACAGACACAGCGCTTTGTGACAGTCCAGTCAAGTCACCATCGCATCCCTGGAAATGACCTGTTGCCATGAATCGCAAAATATGCACACACTTGCAGTGGAACGGGGATTGCGTGACTTCTCATAGTCGCACAACTCAGGACCCCTTGTAGCAGTCTCACAAATTCCATAACCGTGTCTTTGGAAAGTCTGAACCTGGCTATGAATTGGTCCTCATCGTATAATTCAGTGGGATTCCTATGGTCCAAATATATTCTTGGCCAGTACTGATTTGATGGCTCACGTTCTTCTGCATCAATCGCACGTAAGACGTCCATAACTGACAGACTGAGAATTAGTAGCCTTTTAAACAACCGCCCAACACCTACTAAAATTTTCTTACGGTTGGTAGCTATTTCGTAGCTACTAACGCTTAGTATCTCTTTGAAAATACCATCTTAGTCGCAACTAGAGATAGAAGAGACTTAGTAGCCACTAACTTGTTAGTAACCCTTTGAAAATATTACCCTATTTCTCGAACGGATCTTGCAGGAAGGGGTGGAATGAGATCTAAAGTAAGTGGCAGCTTTAAGAGATGGATATACGCCCAGGAAATTCTTGTATTTTTTGTCTTCATGCTTTTTTAAGTTTAATTTTTGTTTATTTTTTGTTTTTGTTTTTACTTTCATTACGGGACACAAGAAGGGAAAGAAGAAGATTGTAGAGAAGAGAAAAGTGTGACATAATGCCATTAAAGGGTCATAGTTCGGTTTATTTAGGTCCTGCTGAAAAAAGCACTGCAAAGCACGGGAGACGAAATCAGGTGTCTTTGCTGATCCTTCCAAGACGTTGTATAATCATATTATAGAGATAAGTTTTACTTTGCTTAACCCTTTCAGACCTGGCGTCCATTCCAATGGACATTGCATTTACATTGTGTCCATGGCAATTTCTTAGGATTCTCGTGACTTAGCGCTCCATGTTACGCTACAATGGGCGCAATTATGCATGGCTCAGTTCTATCAGAGACCTTCTTTTACTCATTAGTCTTGTAATCTTCAGTTATTTAATTAAATGTTTCATATATAACATATGGTATGATATGGTAAATTTATACAATATATGAGAACTACATGTAAAGCATGAAATTTTCAATTACAATCACGAAAAAGCTCCAAAATGCAAAAAGGAAATTATTTGATAGCAGCCTTAATTCAGGTCTGAAATGGTTAAAGCGCCCGATTGTGTATTCTTTTTATTTAGTCTGATGATTTGCCTGTCAGCGTATTTCTGTCAGCTTTATTCCTAGTAGTTATGCCAAGATAATCCTGCTCAATGATGCTCCATGTCTATGCTCTTCCTGTCAAGTTCTTCCGTGTCGTAGTACTTCCAGTTCTATGATGATCCATGTCAACGAAGTTCCCATCGATGTTGTCGCTACTCTTACGTGTCGGCGATAGTCTGTATCGACCATCCGCTTCAGCACTACTTTTTTGGCGTTCTTTTTACTCAGCAAACACACTATAAATATGAGATTTTCCCATTAAAGAATAGTGCACAGAGCAGCCTAAGCGTTTCGGCTATGCTCAAAGATTAATAATACAAAATACAAAATACATTTCTCAGATAATCACGAATCACGCCACGATGATCTGGTCCAAAATTCAAGTTATTTCGGAGAGAACAGCAGGACAAAGTAGAAAAAATCTTCTACGAAGCGCAATGAAATCAAATACAGCTTATACAGAGCAGAAAAGGAAATATCCTAGTAAGTAGTAAAGTAATTCTTAATCTGAAGGCTAACACATCGGAAACTAACATCCAACAAAAAAAATTATCTTAGAAATGACGCAAAAGATGTGGACGGTCCCAAGTTGACGGTAGCCTACATCGTGCATTTATCAGATTTAGAACATACTCTCAAGCTCCAGTGAGCCGGAGCACACTGACCTCCTGGTTATGAGAGCTAAATTACTTCCAATTTAAATTTAAAAAACATGTAAAATATGGGATACAATGTGGAGCGCCAAAATTAAAGAAACGGAATGATCAAAAAAGGCAAGGGGTAAAAAAAAGGTAACATGAATTTTTTGAGGTCGATAATTTTTCCAACCACGGACCTACAGCGTCCCCATAGGGGGATGAATTTGAGCACGAGGGATAACAACCATCGGATTGTCCCTTAAACTAACACCCAAAGGAAAGAAGGGGTTCCGGGCTTCAAAAATCCCTTCCTCCAACTGACTTCTACATCATGGAGAAAAAGGAAAACGATTCAACGTAAAAACTTAGGAGATTAAATTCCAGTCAGACAAGAAAAAGTTACTTACCTGTTACCATCATTCCCTAGACGATACTTTAAACGGTAAATAACAAAAAATGTGAGGGCGAGGATTACTGTGAACCCCGACGCCAATCCAATAATCAACGCGACAATTAATGAGTCACTAGTGACATCACTATCATTCAGACTTGGTGGTGAGGTGGGAACAGTGTCTACAACGGTCACCGTAATATAACTACTTTCAGTATCCCAGGAAGTTAACGTGATATCGGTCTCCACGGAAGTCACTGTGCTTTCGGATTCTGTATCAAAAAACGTGCTTTCTGTCACAGTGGCGGTCGGCGTAGATTCATATTCCATGGCCGTGATCGTGGTATCCGCATCCAGACTGTTTGACATGCTTTCATAATCCGTGGTGGTGATCGTAGTCCCAGACTCCGTTGAGATAGAAGCACTGTCAGTATCCGTGTGTATTAAGGGGGTCTCAGTCTCCAAGCCCGTCGGCGTGGTTTCAGATTCCGTTGCCGAGAACGTGGAATCGGTCACAGTGGCGGTGGCCGTGCTTCCAGATTCAGTAGTGGGGAAAGTCCACGCATCGCTGGAAATAGAAGGACTATCCGCTTCTGTGAAAGAAGAGGTGACGTCCGTCTCAGTGGCGGTGGGCGTGATTTCCGTATCTGTGGCCGTGAAGGTAGTATCTGTTTCAGTAATGGTTGGCGTACTTTCCGATCCCGTGGTAGTGATCGTGGTATCAGTCTCCGACACGGTGGAATCACTTTCGGTATCCGTGAATGATGAGGTGGCGTCCGTCTCAAAGGTGGTGGGCGTGGTTTCAGATTCCGATGCAGAGAACGTGGAATCGGTCTCAGTGGCGGTGGGCGTGATTTCCGAATCAGTGGCCCTGAAAGTAGTATCTGTTTCAGTAATGGTTGGCGTACTTTCCGATCCCGTGGTAGTGATCGTGGTATCAGTCTCCGACACGGTGGAATCACTTTCGGTATCCGTGAATGATGAGGTGGCGTCCGTCTCAAAGCTGGTAAGCGTGGTTTCAGATTCCGTAGCCGAGAACGTGGAATCGGTCTCAGTGGCGGTTGGCGTGATTTCCGTATCTCTGGCCGTGAAGGTAGTATCTGTTTCAGTAATGGTTGGCGTACTTTCCGATCCCATGGTAGTGATCGTGGTCTCAGTCTCCGACACGGTGGAATCACTTTCGATATCCGTGAATGATGAGGTGGCGTTCGTCTCAAAGGTGGTGGGCGTGGTTTCAGATTCCATTGCAGAAAACGGTGAATCCGTCTCAGTGGACGTTAAAGTATTTTTAGATTCCATAACTGTTAATGTTGTGTCGGTCTCGGTAGAGCTTAGAGTGGTTAACGTTTCTATGGAATCGTCCCTAGTGTCGTTCCCCTCCTTTATCGACCTGCTTCCAGATTCCGGGATGGTTAATATTGTTTCTGTGGGAGTTTGCGTTCTCTCCTGTTTCTCTTGCATGTGTTCGATGCTGAAGCATATTTTCTCTTGGGGTCCTGTTAATTCCCCAGATCCCTTTATTGTTGTTCCTTTGATGGCATCTGTTCAGGAGGAGGACAAATAAATTCGTATTCATGGCTCTCGATCCTCCCTAATTATGAGTAGTTTTTGCCTTGGCCTTTTCTGGAATCATATATATCTCTAATAATAAACATTTTTAATGGTTCCTAAATTTTTCATTTCTTAATGCATATCCATTCGCAGATAAATATCTGACCGGATTTTGTTCATTTATTTACTCCCAGGTTGGCGTACCAATTTTCATCGTATGTCGCCCTCTCGCTTTATTTAAATAATTTTTTGATGTTCAATAATATTTAATTATTATTTTCGCAGATTTTAGTTTGGACTCGTCCTGACGGTCCTTTCTTTTTCATTGATGACCTCAATTTCTGCGTGATGAATCATTCAGAAACTCTTGATTTTTTCTTTCCTTGATTATTTCACTATGTACCAATGTTCATTTGTGATTCTCCGAGGTTAATCTTAGTAGACAATGGACTCCGAATATTTTGTGATTGCTTTGATGCTAATATACGGCATTCGATTTCTCCTCTTGAGCTCCTATCGAAGATCTCATTTCATTGTAGTTGTATTTGTGGTGTTTTGCGTTTTAATCACCCTCGGGCCTTTCATCATGTCGGCTATCGGCATTTGCCTGCATTTTCTATCAGGTTTTCACTGACTTATTCCACAATAGTCGAGGAGCAGATTGGTGAGAAAGGAAGAATTTCTATAGCTACAGGAGAGACCAGGGCCAGCTACCTTCACGATGGTAGTGTGGATTCGCTGAAGAAGGGTTTTCCTAAGACTTGGGACGACATTAAGGTCGAATAGCTGACGGCCATCGTGGACAACTTTCCAAAGCGTTTAAAAGCCTGTATCTCAGACGATATTTGAAAAACCTTACAGTATATTGTTGCCATATGTGCTTCTAATGTTTGATGAAATTTTTGATGGAATTTGGATGAAATACAGCAAAGTTATAACCAAAAATATCGCGTTAAGAACCTGTAGAGACCTGGGGATGGTGCAAAACATTTTTTTAATGAGTATTGACCGAAGACTGTAATCTGTTTTTGTGTAAATCACCAACTCCACTCGTTTTCGGTTTAATACACCATTATTACGTTATTTTACAATACTCAGTCAAAATGGCGAATTCTAATGCCGTCCGTCAAATTATAAAAATTGTACAAACAAAATTGTACAATGGAGGTCACCAACATCAACAATAATGGTAATGACATTATCACCAAGAGTGTCATACATGTTCTGGGCGGGTAAGAGTCGTTTATTTGCAGCCAAATTTCAGTGGATGAGGCGGGAACACACTTAATCGACTTCAACTATCGTATGCCAAATTGCTTTAAAATTGGTACGAAATGTGCTGCCATCAAGCAGTCACTGAAAATAAATTCCCCCAAAATTATTTTGTTCCCTCACTTTTGCTCCATCCTGTACTGTAAATATTAACTGTAGACGATTGTGAGTGAGTGACTGCATGAGCGATTAACGCTAATTCAATTCATGTTCTAGGTATGCCAGGAAGAAGTAAGTCGGTACACGAATTGCTGTTATAGGCTTAAAAAAATCAGATTTTGATGGTAAATACCCTGAGACCTCTTTTTTTTAGGAAAGGCTTTCGAATGAGTTTTTTCCCTTCAGTGATACGAAGATACATAGAGAGCTGAAACTTGGTATGAAAGTTCCTGTTATGATGCTGATTTCAGACAAATTTTACTTTCCTTAGGGGTGTAACACTCTGGGGGAATGTTTTCCGTAAAGTATTTTTTCTCCAGTGAATCGGGCAGAGACAAAACTTGGCATCTGAATAACTGATGAGTTGTTGAATAAATAAAAATTATATTTTGCGGTTCATTGAAATTTTGAAGGAAAAATATATATTGGAAAATTTATTGCGACAAACTTCTAGAAGTACGTCTGCCCCCCCCCCCCCCATGCACACACATTCACATAAAGCGCCATGAGGGTATGTACAAGGAGACCCATTTGTAAAGTTTACCAATGAATGGCCATGTACAAAAGAAACCACTGGACAGAAGAAGCTGAAACTTGGCAAACAGTTTGAAGTATGGGCTTCTCGAATCCGTAGATAAATAAATAAATAAAATATTAGTGTCAAAAGATGGCACCACCAAAGCATGTGACATGGCCAGCAAACAATATAAAATATCAGTGGATGACTACGGACTGGAAGAGTATGGAACCTAACCAGTGCAAGTCAACATGCTAGCGCTCACTACGAGGATCGAACTGATGCAGAAGTTTTACGAAAATGGGAGGAATGCGGAGGCCGCCTTAAGGTCGTACCCTCGAGTCAAGAGTCAAGAGAGTTAGTGATATCAAGAGGCGATTTCGCCCATTTCAATATCACGTGTC